GATCACCACCTTCAAAACATTGTTCTATCCGTATTTCACCAGACACACAACGAGCTTTTCACATCAACGCATTCTCCACATTCCCTAACTTCATAAAAGTATACGATTTTTCGTTAAAACGCTCAATAACGCATAAATAGCACTAGCTATGAAGTACAGTAATTGGAGTGACCGTTAAAGCAGACAGAGAACGTAGAGTAGGTTTACACTACCTGTGCTCTAACCTCACTTCGTAAACTGCAACCTACGATCAACAATTGAAGTTTTGTATGGATACTATGAGAGAGGAGCGCTTGATAAATTAAATGAGTCTATAAACTAGTAATAAATAAATAAACAGCATTCAAAATAGGAATATAAGTGATCACGAGTTGAACTGAATTACAAAAATATTGAGTCTCAAGACATTGCGAGCTCATCCCACTAACATACGTACCTCACATTATCGTTATCAGCAACTGCAGTGGTAACAAGGGCAAGAGATTCGTTTTGTTATATAAACGATTTTTTGGAAACATTATCATTCTTTGAGGTGAAATATTCTGATTGGAAATTCATACGAAATTCTTATCATTAATCGGACTAATATATCAATTTCTTATATGATCAATGACATTCTTGTAATGATAGATGATCGAAAATGAATTATCACTGGTTGATCACTTAGATACAATATGTTACGTACACATATTCCTCTAGGTCTGCGTGCTTAAGATGAACATCGTTTGATGAGTTAGTTCCACACGTGTATCGAAATTCAATCTCAGTTGACCAATGCAATTCAGTCGATGCAGCAATAGATCATAAGAGTTTTCATTAGTAACGTCGGATCTCTGTTCAAAAAACAATTTCATTCTCATTGATCAATGTAACCAAACGAAGTCTGTCATCATAACTGCGTCACTTCAATGTGTCCTATTGATTAAACGCAGTTAACAATAAACAACGTTCAAATAACAACGATCCCGGTCATAGAACAAATGATTTCATCATAACAATAGACAATGTTATGATGTCTGTCATCATAACATTGTCTATTGTTAACTGCGTTTAATAACCTTGTCCATGCGCTATCACCATTGTTATCGTCTTTCTTGCAGACTTTTTTTTCGTAGGAATATTGCTGTGATGCCATCGATGACAATGAGATAACGTATGCAAATTCTTCCTTATTCCTCATCGCTAGGATGAAATGAAATGAGAAGATGAACATCAGTAGCTAGGTTTTCATAATTGTAATGGTCGGTTCACTCCTGACGTTCGATATTAATCTTTCACTCATCACAATATACTTGTTTTAGGTAATTAAGTTATAAGGTGCTAACCACGCCTCAAAGCTATTGGATTGCGAACAATCGCTTTGTTAATCGCTCAATTCTTCCACCAACACAGTAAGTAAAAATTTCCGTCTTCTTTATCACATTCACTGTGATGTCGATGTCGATTCCACTCGTGTCAAAGTTCATCATGCCTCCATTAACTTTTCTTATACAAGCTGCTGCGACACTCCACGTCAAGTTTTTGATCTACAGTCGTAGAGTTAGTCAAATGATAACAATTGTGGCAGAAGCAAGAAACAGCACACGGTTCGATAAGATCACTGACTTCTTTTCATAAAAAATTTGCATAACTTCTTCACTCAAACCTCATTCATTTCAGGTTTTGGTGTGATAATAATATTGTGATACCAGTGCGTTGATCAATATTTATTAATTTGTAAGTCTTGAGTTGCATTCTCATTAATCCATTCACTCATTCAATCAATTTCATTTCATTCAACCACAATCAATTTTCAACTTTTCAGAATAATATCACTCGGCGCCAACAAAGGCCGATAATTTTCTACGTGAACACATCACCTGAATGTAAGTTTTGAACGTCATCCATATATTCTTTTCATTAATTGCTTTTCAATTTCGCTTCGATTCTCGCATCTCATTACTGTTCTAACAATTTTGTTCTTCAAGCAATTCTGTGTTTGTTATTTGTTTCTGAAGGAATATGAAGTCTACATCGCAAGATGTATTGCGTGATTAATTTGTTTACTCATCAAAAAGTCGGTTCATTGTCTCTTCGAATTCCAATAGTTAACCGATTGGATCTTTGGATCACTTGGCGCATTCTGTTCCCGTTGATTCCACTATTGTTCCAGTGATCTTATTTCCTCTTACATCCTTCATGAATGCATT